AAACGCAGCGGGACGCCCCCTCCCTCCCTGCTCCCCACGGCTCCCAGACCGCGGGATGAAAACGCAGGAGGCGTTTCGTGGGACACTCGTTCCCGGCTGCAGAGCAGCGCAAACCCCAGGCTCTGGAAGGTTTCCCAGCGCTGCCGAGCAGGAAACACACCGTGCCAGGTTTTTTTTCCCTCCTCTAAAGAGAAGAAGGGTAAAGATCCCCGGATATGCACAAGGTGTTTATCCCAACACCCCCCGCCCCCCGGGAGGCATAAGCCATTCAGCCCACGTCCCTCTCCCCCACTCGGGGTGGAGGGCAGGAGGGATGGCGGGCGCCCAGCAGTCCTCCCCCGGGGGCGCGGGGTCAGTGTAGCCCCCGGGGACCGCGGTGAGGGCCCCGCGGGGGTTCCCCTCGGCCTCGGTGCCTCCCCCAGGCCCCATCATTCCCGTACCCCGCGGGTTTCCAAACTTTCCGTGTCCGCCGCCGCCGTGATTGGCGCGGCGGAGGCCACCTCCATGCAAATGAAGCCCCGCCGCCCGGCGCCCGCAGATCAATAGGGACGCGGGGGAAGGAGCATGCATTCCGCCTGGGCCGGCGCGGGGACAGCCGCCCGCCGCAAGCCCCGAGCGCCCCCCGAAACCAGCCCCCCGACGGCTCCCCGCGGGCTGCCGGGGCACCCCCAACCCGCGCCCCCTCTAAAGCGAGAGCTTCCCTCCTCTGCTTTCTTATGAACCCAGGATGAGCAGCAAAGAAGACCCGAGCAAGTGCTGTCCGGCGGCTGCTCCCATCTCCAGTTTCACCATCCAGTCCATCCTGGGCAGCGGCAGCGCCGAGCCCCCCCGGGAAGGCGGCGGCAGGGCGCCCACCTGGCCCGCCCGCGCCAGGACCCTCTCCCTCTCCTCGGAGGACGAGGAGCCGGAGGAGAGCTGGAAGCACCGCGGCTGCTTCTGCCCCGAGGCTCAGGGCCCCGCCGAGGCGTGCCACAAGCACCAGCCCCTCAGCTTCACCTGTCTAGGTGAGTACCTGGACGGGACGGGATGGGACGGGGCGGACGGGACCCGCCGGGAAGGGCCGCGGAGGGCTCGGCCCCGGCACGGCCCCCGCGGGAAGTGGGAGGGGGGCACATGTCTCACCCTCTCTGCTTTCGGGGCACAGAGGGTCGTCCGTGGGTGATGCGGGAAGGAAGGAGCTCCAGGAAAAATAGGGTGGCCTTTTTTTTTCCTTACCCACCACACCCGGGGTTGATTTCCCCGAGGGATTCAGTGCGATGGATAGCGCTCGTTTTCTTAGATTCTGGTTATTTACAGCACTCTGGCAAAGGGAAGAAGGATGTTTAATTTTTTTAGCATTAATTCTGAATAAACGGTGTGTGAAATGCGATGCTGTAAAGTAAAATCTGCCGGCTCGTGTCGGGTAGGAAGGTTGGTACTCAGCTGCTTTCACTGAGGCACGCACACCCACCTCTCCATCCATCCATCCATCCATCCATCCATCCATCCATCCATCCATCCATCCGTGTATGTGATGGAGGGATAGGGATAGCCCAGAAGGGGATGGCTTCTCGCGGTGCCGGTTTTGTCTTCCACGAGGAACAGAGGCGGCGAGTGCCTGCCCACGGGCTCGCGTGGCTGCTCCCCCGCTCCGGGGCGGGAGGCTCTGCCGTCGGGGGTCCCGATGCTGCCCACCGTGCGACCGCCGCGTTGTCCCTCTGTTGCAGGCAGCGCCAAGGGGAGCGGAGCGGCGGCGGCAGCAGCCAGCTCGGAGCGGGGGCCCTTCCTCTCGCCCCCGCAGCAGGACTGTAAGGACGAGAAGGAGAAGTCGCTGGGACCCTCCTCTCCCTCCTGCGGGGACCGGCAGCGCGACGGCGGGGACCGGCAGGCCGGCGCCGCCAAGAAGAAGACGCGCACGGTGTTCAGCCGCAGCCAGGTCTACCAGCTGGAGTCCACCTTCGACATGAAGCGCTACCTGAGCAGCTCGGAGCGGGCTTGCCTGGCCTCCAGCCTGCAGCTCACCGAGACCCAGGTGAAGACTTGGTTCCAGAACCGCAGGAACAAGTGGAAACGGCAGCTCTCGGCCGAGCTGGAGGCGGCCAACATGGCCCACGCCTCGGCGCAGACTCTGGTGGGGATGCCGCTGGTGTTCAGGGACAATTCCCTCCTGCGAGTGCCGGTGCCCCGGTCCATCGCCTTCCCCGCCCCTCTCTACTACCCCGGCAGCAATCTCTCGGCCTTACCGCTCTACAACCTCTACAACAAGATCGACTATTGAGCCTCTGCCCCGCCCGCCCCGTCGGGACCGGCACCAGGACCAGGAGCAGGACTGGAGCCGCCGCGGGGGCTGCTTGTGGGGTCTGGGGCCGCCCCCGCGGCGGGGACACAGGAACCGAACTGATGGGGAGGGACGGGCGAACCGAGAGCCCCCTCTTGCTATCCTGCCACTTGAAAAGAAAAAAAAAATTAATTAAAAAAGCGTTATTTCAGATCTGTAAATATTTTTAAAGAAAGAAAGAAAGGAAACAACCAAAAAAAAAAAAAAAATTAAACCTCGTTTTAAGCCTCGTTTGTAAATTTTTTGCCACCTCGGTCGCGTGTCCCCCCTGAGGGAGGACCCCGGCACAGAGGTACACCCGCAGCCGGGACGGGATGGAAGCGTGGGGAAAGAGAAAACGACTTGAAACGCAGAGGGTTTTATTTTTATTTTTTTTTTCCTCTGCATTTTTGCTCTTTATCTCGTTTTCTGCAGGGAATCCCAAGCCCATCCCTTCTCGGCGCGCTGCTCTCGGCGGGGAGATGAAGGATATCCCCAGAAAAGTTTTGGTAACGGGGGCCGTGTTTGTGTTTCGTGGAGTGTTTTGGGCATCCACGACGGGTCCCCACGTCGGAGGGGACGACCGGTCACTCAAAACCCAGTTAATCTCGCAGCAAAGAGGCGATCAAACCGCGGCCACCGGCTCCGGTACCGAGCGCGGGGGGTGTCACAGCAGCAGTGAAAAAAAACCCAAGAAACCAAACCAACCAACCAACAAAATATAAATAAAATATCCCAAGGGGTAAATAACGCGGTTGTCAGCGTGGGGAAGGAGAACACGGTGTTTTAGCTACAGAACCCTTTGCCTGGGGGCACCAGCAGCCGGGTGGGGGCTAAGGAGGGACTCAATTTAGGAGACTGTTTTAGGGGCAATAACTCTTATTTCGGGTTTACACGTTAACGCTGCTAAACCCCATCGCCAGCCACTCTTTCTTCGCAGCACCAGCCCCATGGGATTCCCGCCGGGGACCTCCCGTTATCAGCCGGGATGGGACTGAGGACAAGGAACGGACCCCCCTCCCTCGAGCTCAGCCCCGCCGGACTACAGCTCCCGGCATGCCCCGCGGCGGAAGCGCGCGGCGCACGCCGGGAACGTGGCGTCACGCGCGTTCGAAGCGGCCAATCGCGGGGGCGGGCGGCGGTGCGCGCGCGCGGGAGGCGGCGGTGGCGGAGGTGAGGCCGGGACCGGGATCGGAACGGGGATCGGGAATGGGAATCCGGAATCTGGACGGGGATCGGGATCCGGACCGGGACTGAGATCTGGATCCGGACCGGGACTGGGATCGGGATCCTGACGGGGAACCGGACCCTGGGGACGGCCTCACCCCCTCGGTGCGGCCTCGTCCCTCCCGCGTTCCCAGGCCCTTCCCTCGCTCTCTTCCCTCACTCTCTTCCCTTCCCGCCTGCAGCGTCTCCCGGATCCCGACGTGCTTCTCCCCGGCCGGACCGTAAGAGCGACCGACGCCCCGGCGCTGCCGTGACTCCCGAACCTTTTTCCAACCGCCGCGCGGAGCGGCGGGAGGAGCTCGTCTGACATGAAAACGGTACTTTTAAATTTAATGAATTCGTAATAAACGCGCGGGCTGGGCGTCCCGGGGCTCTCACCGAGGCGCTCTGCTTTGTTCGGGCAGCTCCGTCCGGCTGAGGGACAGAGCTGTGCCAAGGGGGGCCGCAAAGGCACAGATTTCTTACCTGTTCACTAAAAACTAGTTTTGTGTTTTGGTTTTTGTTTCCCCCAAAACTGAACCCTGTGTCTAAGTCAGAATCGCAGTTTCAGACTATAATGTGTTATTTCTTATGTGTCTCAATATTTTACCAGCACTTTGTTGTTTGAGGTGGGCTTTGACTCTGTGGTTTGGAAATCCTGGTTGTGAAGCAGCTGTTTCTGTGCAAGTGCAGAGCTCTTTTTGTGTTCTGTTTCTTTAGCATGTGTAAGAGGCAGGATGTATCTAAGTTCTGATATCATGTACGTTGTTCTGGATTAAAAATACCTTTGGGAGATCCTTCCAGGTCTCTGATGTAACTAACTTTGCTTCCTGGACTGATTAATAACTTGTACCAGGCCTCAGATAATACAATAACTTGTACCTCAGATCCTCATGTTTGTTGTTTGAGTTTTCTGGCACAAGGAGAGAAGGCAATTACCATGTCCACTCTAATTTCCCTCGTTGTTCTGAATTCCTTTGGATTTTGTGACTCTGTACATCCATCTAAAGCATTCACTGCTGCAGGTGCTGCTGAATTCCTTATAGTATTCCTGTGGAAAGATGTGTGGCTAAATCTCCAGCCTCCCTTTTTCCAAGTATTCCCAAAGCAGAGCTGGAAGAAGGGGCTCAGAAAGAAGCTTTTCTCTTATTAAGAGTGGGCTTCTCCCCCTCACTTCATGTTTAAATGGCAGAAATAGCACTTTATGTTGACACAGTGGGTGGGATTTTTGTTTTTTGAAGGATGTCCTGCAGAGCATCTGCCAAAGCTCCCACTCAGGAAGTCTCTCCAGTGTAAGAATGTGTGTTGCTCACTTTATTACACAACTTGGTTATTGTTCAGTTACTGACAAGCACTGAACTGGAACCACTGTGCCCTAAATTTGAACCTTGCCCTCGTTCATCTGCTCGTTCTCTCCTGATTTATTGTCAGAGGTGTAATCTTACCTCTGCACTTGCACATCCAGATTCAGAAGTGACAGTGTGAAATCTAAAAGAATTTGCTTTTCTGCCCCTCTAGCATAAGGGAAATGAACTATTAAGATTTTGTGAAGCCTTAAAAAAAGTTTGGTTGCTTTGTTGGTGTACTTGTCATGAACAGTTTCTTTTAGAGTGTTTGTAAGGTTTGAACTGTTTTCCACCTGGAATTTGCAGTTCATAGTCTCTGCTGTCATTGGAATTTTTGTATAAGCAACAAAACTCTGAAGTGGGTGCTGCAGTTGCCTTCAGAGTCATTGATCTGTCATTGAATTGTTAATTTTATTTTTTTTTTCTACCAAAGTCACATTTACAAAAGCATAACCTCCCTTTCTTACTTGCCCTTCTTAGTGAGGGGGGGAAAAAAATTCTTAAAGCTGTTCTGTTGCAAATATTTTATAGTATTTATGGAAACCTAAAGAATGGGAAGTTGCAGAGAATCCAGAACTATATAAAAAATGATACAGTTGCAATTCTTGGAAGTATATGGCAGTCATACCAAATGAGGAACAAATCAGCACTTTTTGGAGTTTTCAAATGAGTTTTCTTTCTGCTTGTATGTGTTTTGTAAAGTAACTTCTTGATGCTCACAATAACTTATAGATATTTAATGTAAAAAACACAGTCACACACACAAATAGGGTAAGGGAAATACATTTATAAGTAACAATATGTAAGCTTATAGATGATAATAATGATGACAATGTATTTGTATTGTTTTTTGCGTGTTCTATTTGAAATTTAAAAGCTCTCTGTAGGGGAAGGAATTTATTGAGGTTTTAGACAGGGATTGGCATCTCCAGTTTGTCAGAAATCTGGGTGTTCTGAACTTGTTGTGTGTTAAAGCCAGTAAACTTCTCAGGCCTCCTTTGGGCTGCCTTGCAGGTGTCTCAGTTTATCTTGCTGACTTGCTGTGTTCCTGTAACCACTCAAATTGTGTCTGTGCCTTTATTGTCTGCAGATGACGGGTTCAAATGAGTTCAAACTAAACCAAACTCCAGATGATGGCATTTCATCGGTGAAGTTCAGTCCAAATACATCTCAGTTTCTGCTTGTTTCCTCCTGGGACACAACTGTTCGGCTCTATGATGTGCCTGCCAACACCATGAGACTCAAATATCAGCATTCAGGAGCTGTCCTGGACTGTGCTTTTTATGTAAGTGTGGGAGGTTATTTTTAATTATTAATTTACAGACCTATAGTGCCCAAGGTATGAGAAATTGCCACTCCCTGAAATTAAAGGGGAGAAAAATGCAACCTGAAATGTAGGCTAAAAGATATAGTTTACTTCTGCCAATTAACTCCTTATTTAATGAGCATCTTTCTAGTCCTAAATGCAGGGGTTGCCTGTGAAGGTGCAGGCACACAAGCAACTTGCTCCTGGTACAAGTGGGATGCAAAAGTAATTGAAGCTGATTTGTGCTGTTTCTGGAGTGGTGTGGTGAACTGGGTGTGTGTTCCTCACAAACAGTTGTACTGGGAGGATACAGCCAGAAATCCTTACCCACAATAAATGCCCAGAGCCAATTAGTATTTTCTTTTTAACCTTCCCACTCTGGGTTGTACTGAAAACATGGCATTGTTCCAAGTGAGACATTTATTAGGTCCTTGGTTTCTATATTTTTTAATGCTCTGGGTTTGAAGTGCGCTTCAAAATGGTTTCAGTTTCTAGGTGCCACTTTTTTGTTTTGCCTTTTTTTGGTATAACATGTGAAGTTGAAGGTTTCAATTATCATTTTTTTGGCATTGCATTCTGACATATTGTGTAGTGATGTGATCTCAGTGTGTTACTGAATGTTTTAAATTTTGGACTCTACTTATGCTTTTTTTTACTGAACATTTTGCCACACTGTACTGAGGATAAACACTCAAGTTCTCAGTAAGAATAAATATTATGTGCTTTCCTCTTACAGAAATGGAAATGATTTGTTAGAGCCTCTAACTGCCTTTTTAATTATTTTTGTTTTTAGTTTTACTTTTAAACTTAAAAAAATTCATGTATCTCAAAGCACTTAAACGTTTTGCAAAGCTTCTGTTGTCTGCCTGTTTAAATCTGGGCCAGACCTTAACCCTTGTGTCTCAATTCCCATCTTCCCAAAACTCTTGAAGGCGAGTTCTTTGCTATGAGCCTAGGAGAGGAAATGTGTGTAGGAGCCATGGAAAATTAATGCAGTGTCCTAAGGTGAAATTTTATGCTTTATAGGATCCTACCCATGCCTGGAGTGGAGGGCTGGATCAGCAACTGAAAATGCACGATTTAAACACGGACCAAGGTGAGCAGGTTGAGTTCTGAATGGTCTCAACAGCTGGGCTAAGCTTCAGATTTATATATTTACATGAACAGAGTAGGTTTAAAGTTCTTTAGATGGGGGATATTTAAGTATCTGGAGAGTAACTATTGGCCCTCATAGGTACCAGCTAAAAGCATGGAAGAATTTGGCACGTTGCCAGAAAGTTTGGTAGGTGCTTGTTGTAGGGTGCCTTGAATTGGATTTCTGATGATAATCCTGCTCTGCCATAGGC